ACTATCTAGAGTTGTTTGCAATGAAGGACTTCGAGGACAAAGTCTAATTCAAGAGGAGGAGAACTGTAACATTTGCATTTCAGGTATTTTGCCTTTTTCCCCTTATCTTAAAAATTCTTGCATTTTGGTCCCTAGCCAATACGCTGGGTGTAGTGGGTCGATATCTTAGTTGTGTAAGGCATCCACGTAGGCTGGGCGTACGTAGAGCACGCAGGGCTTACGACTGCCCGGGACAAACCCTAATTTTTTGGGTTTGAGCCCTATTTAAGCACCTTAAGTTACTCTTGGACCTTCTTATGACCAACATATACCTCTCCAAACCATGAGAACGAAACCCTAATTTCCATTTGAGTGTTTTGTGTTTGGAAGTGACCTTTTAAGGTGTTTTTGGTGATCTTGAAGGAAGAAGAACTCTTGGAAGTTGCATTGTTGTGATTGGAGCTTGTGGATCCAGAATCACCATCAACTTGGAAAGCTTTTGGAGGGATAAAACTCTTAACTTGATGGTTCATTATGATAGATCTAGTTAGGGCTTGTTCTTGTGCATTTTATGGTCCCTTAAGTCATGCTTGAGAGTATGAGCTACTGCAGAAGCTAGGGTTGGTAGATCTTAGCATTTTTGAGGTTCCTTATGCATAAAAATGCAATCTTCATGTGTTATATTGAACCATTCATCAGTTAGGGCCCTTATTATGGGTTTTATTGGTCAAAAACAAGTATTGGATCCCATTAAGACATGCAACGGAGTAAAGTTGCCAACGTTACGTGTTAAGACATCATTTAGGATCAGATCTGAGAAGTGGACTTACTGGATTAACCAGTTAATCACTTAATGGTGAGTATGGATTGTTGTGGAGTATGATGGGCATACCCAGCTCGTACGTAGTGCGTACTGGCCAAAGGTGACATATGTCGGGTGTAAGTCTGAGTACGTTGGGAGTACTCAGCAGCTGTTGAGTTTTGTTGACTTTTGTGGTTTGGCCCATATTTTGACTATTAGGGTTTTGGGCCTTGTTGAGCCACTAGTCTTTCTGACTACGAGCCATTGATAGGCTTTGGGCCTTCTTGGATTTGGGCTCATATTGGGCTTTGGGTATCATTTAGGAATTTGGGCCAAGTGAGGAAAGGGTAAATTGTTCTTTTACCCTGGGTGTTGTGACATCGCTATTTTCACGGCCAGAAAAGACCGATTTTGTTTATGCTTTATAATAAAATCAGAGTAACTTTTAAAGAAATTGTTGCGGAATTTGTTCCCAAAAATTATAGATAAGAATTTATCAAAGCATTTCAGAATAAATGTATTTTCATTACATTACAAAACTCGGGATGTCATCGTCAATACAGATCAAAAGCATAAACCAAAAGCAACATAGGCCTTACAACATTTCTATTTAATTCTATTGGCCTATAATAAATAATCTCTCATCAAATAATCCAACTATGCTCTTGTGCCACTACCTGTGAAACAAAAAAACTGAGTGGGTCAGGCTGGGGAGCCTGGTGAGCATATATGGTTTTCAACCCACCATTTATAAGTTTATTATTTTCAACAATCATTCAACCCGATTACCCCTTCCCGTTATCCACACTTTACGTCCCTAAAGCATCTATTATAAGGGACCTATCCTAAGGAATTTCGTCCGGATGGACACTACTGCTAAGGGGATTCCTCAGCCATATAGGTCCGTAAGGCAACCATGAGGGGGATGGAGTACACCGGTGAACACATCGTTCACAAACACCTACAGGTTGCGAGCCTGCTAGTGTTCCACTGGACTTCCTAGAAAAGTTCGTGGTCGTTATCCATACTCCACTAGATGACTGGATCATCGTCAACACTGAGGCCTCTCATCATTTTATTTAATCACACACCAACTATTTCATCTACCCATGTTTTACCCAACATATTTGTAGATATAAAATACATATACAGTTCAAATCTGAAAAACGAAGTTTAAATCTTTCATACAGCATAGATCTCAAAGTATAAAATATATATATATATATATATATATATATATATATATATATATATATATATATATATATATATATATATATACAATTTAGATCTGAAAAGTTTAGATCTGAAGTGAGAAAGTTTAGGTTTGAAGAAAAAAGTTCAGATCTGAAAGAAAAAGTTTAGATATGAAATAAAAGTTCATATCTGAAAAGAAAGAGGCTTAGATCTTTCATCCAGCATAGATCTCAGGTAAACAGATAATATATACACATAGCACGCAATTTATATAAAATACTTCATATCTATGTGTAAGATGAAAGTGACTATACACTCACTTGATAAGGTGGTGATTCGGACAATGCTTCGCTTCTTAAAATAATCTCCTTTGACGAAACTGGGAGGTTTGCTTGAAAACCGGGCTCTGCGGGGGCAGAGTTTCTAAACCGAAAAACTCTTTTTCTCGGAGCCTTCGGACGCTTCGGGGCTTTCTTCTAGTGCTTGGGAGGCTTCCTAGGCTTCGGGGTGGTTTAGGGAGGCCAGAGAGAGAGTAGAGAGAGAAAGAAGGTGTAAAAGATGTGAAAATGAAGGCTGGCCTCGCAACCCTTTTATACGTCGGAGGCTCGCTGGTACGCTGGGCGTACTTCGGATCTACGTAGCGCGTAAGCGGCAGGTGTCGGTCAATGGCTGGGACGACGTGGCTGGCTTCTGACCACATGAGAGTTAGACTGCACAGCGTATGCATCTTCGTACACGGGGCGTACTTCGGTACGCAAGGCGTCCAAAGGTACGATGGGCGTACCCCTCGCACCCAGCTCGCAATTTTCACCCTCGACTTCTAAAATTCGTAACTTTCGCATACCAGCTCCCTTTTCTACGTTCTTTATATCCACGTGTAGGTGGGACCGTACTCTACAACTTTTGTTTAGACTCTGTCGGCTAATTTTGACTTTATTTTTAAAGTTATATTTTTAACAGGACGGGATAGGAAAAGTCCGTTAAAAATTCATAACTTCTTCATCCGACGTCCATTTTCATCTGTCTTTTTACCGTTGAGCTAATATTAACGAGACCTACGATTCCTGTTTAGGTTGTGTCGGCCGAAAACCGTTCGATCTACTATTCGAACTCCGGGCTGTTTACTGTGGATCCGAAACTTAGAAAAATCATAATTTCCTCTTACGAAGTCAGATTTAGGCGCTCTTTTTATGCACGCTCTCGGTTTAACGTATGCTACGACTTTCGTTTAGATCGCTAAGGCTAAAAAGAACTTTATCGTAAACTCACCTTTTACGTCATGTAGTGTCGTGCCGGTTCTGTCGCGAAACTTCGACAGATCATAACTTCTTCGTTATAACTCGGATTTCGGCGTTATATATATGTCTGGAATCCTTGTCACGACCACTACAACTTTCTTCATAGATATCGGTCTTATCTAATGTTTTATTTTTTACGCTTATTTTTATTATATATTTACAAACAAGTATATAATCACAGAAAATCACATAATTCACATAATATTCAAGTAATTCATCTTTATTACTTTAAAATGATTACAATGATTGACCTTGACTATTACATCATCGAATTAATGCTTGGCCTCGCAACACGGGCGTTACAGGTGTTAGACAAATGAACTAGATTTCCAGTTATGGTTTATGGCGCAATTATTAATTGGGGTTTTATTTGATTGATTAGCGCGAGGATTTTTCAGTTCAGTAGCCCGATCATTTGTTTGACTGACAGCAGACTGAGGTGAGTTAGCTCACTATACTGTAGGACACTAGGATTGTATTTGTTTGTAGTCTTTGTGACTCCTGCTATATGTATGTATGCCTATGTGCCTGTTTGTTATATGTATGTGGGCTGAAATAGACACGGGGGGGGGGGGGGGGGGGGGGGGGGGGGGGGGGGGTAGGAGGGTTGAAACAAACATGGTGCAGCCTTGTGTTGACATATGAATTGAAATAGACTCAGTACGCCCTTGAGCCAACACATGAGTTGAAATAGACTCGGGAGTGAAGTAGAACCGGGGGTGAAATAGACCCAGCGCCTTGACTTGGCAGATATATATGGTATGTGATATTTTGGGGAACTGACTAAGCTTCGTGCTTACGATTTTCAGTTTATGTTTCAGGTACTTCCGGATCGAATGGGAAGAGCTCGGGATGATCACATCGCATACACCACGATTTCCGTTTTATTTGACTCTGATGTATTGAGATGATTGATGGATATACTTTGATTTTCCTTTATGGTTTTATGAGCACGTTTTGGTTGACGGTTTTATTACTATGAAAACGAAATTTGTGGTTTTAAATTTTGGAACGTTACAAATTCCTTCTTGTTGATCGGTTCTAATATCGTCACTAGATGAAATAATCTTATCCCCGTAAAGGTTAATGTTCTTATTTGGAGAATTGAGATGGATAAAATCCCTACCCCGGTTAAACCTTAGAGATAAAGGAATCAATCTTCATTCTTTGTTGTGTCCTATCTCTTCTCAAGTTGCGAATCCACTGAGCATTTGTTTGCTTCTGGTTGCCTTCTAATGCCGATTTGGAGAAAGATTGCTCAATGGTGGAATGTGATTATTCCTTGTGATTTTTCGGTTTCCTCCATTCTCAATTGGGCTGATTCTTTATCTTTTGACAAGAAAAACAAGACGAGATTTGAAGCGGTTATAGCTACCATGTTTTGTGTTTTATGGAGTTTTCGAAATAAACTCTTATTTGGAGCGGTAAAGCTTAGAAAAGATGAGATTTTTTATGATATATGTTATTTTTCCTATTTCTCGATCTCTAATAGTAGTAGGAAAGCTAATTTTTCTTGGGATGGTTGGCTGATTTCTCCCAAAATGGCTTGAACTTTTTGTAATTTTGTTGTAGCTCCTTGCTATTTTGCTTTTTAATTCCACTGCGGTTCTAAAAAACAGATAACTTTTTTTTGCATTTGGACCAAAAAAATAAATAAATAAATAAAAATAAAGATGAAAAGGACTTTGGAAAAAAAGATAACTAAGTATTTGTTTTTGTTGACAAAATACCATTGAAATTATGGTATTTTGTGTTGTAAACAAAAAATTCGACTTGCTTACTTTTATAGCAATTTTGAAAAATCAAATAATTACATTAAGTTGCCCATTTATGACATTAACCCGGAAAAAAATGCATCAAGTCAAGCATCGTCAGCCTTGACAAATCGACCCTTGATTAGCTCTAGTGTCAGCTCTTGCCTTCCTCGACTCATACCCGATGTGTTTCACATACCTACACAGTCGGACATATTTCATCAAAAAAGAAAAAAATCTTAAGCTACAAATTTATCAAAAGTACCTCCTGGATTTCTTCTTCTCCAGATAACGAAGCATCGCATTGCCTGTGTTCCTTGCCAAAACCTCTATATCATCTGAACCACCAGTACCAATACCATATCCCTTTTGTGTTCCAAAACATGATTTGGAGCTGTTTTGGATTTTGAGCTAAGCAATTCAATATTATGATGCTTAATAATATTTATATGCCTTGAACAAAAATCCAAACTAACTGACACAAAATTGGAATTTAAAAATGGCTTACATTCATCCCTAATCCTATTCCTGTCTTATGATCTTCACTCATCAATCCCCCATTATTTCTATCTGGACTAGCCGTTCGTTCCATATCAAAATCCCATATCTGCAGGAAACAAACACACACAAATCTCTATATTAAAAACTAAAACTTTACACGTATTAAATTGTCAAGTATTCTTTCATCTTTTGTAATTAAGTGAATTATTCATCCAATTCACGAGATATAACCTGAGTGCCTGGTCGGTCTCCGGGTATGGAGTTCCAAAGCATGTTGTGTTGCAAAGTTGGATCGTCTATCCGATCCACATCAACCCGACCGTGCTTCATCATAACCAAAGATGTAAACGGTACCTCCTCCTCCTCTTCCTCCTGCTGCTGCTGTCCTCTTGCACCATTACCATCGAATCACAATGCGCTTCTCTTGGAAAGCTCCTTCAACTGTTTCAAAATTACATTTTTTTGCTTCTCACATATAGAAATCGACTTCTTAAACACATCACTCTCGTCAGACTCAGGCACCATCACCTCTTGCATCCACGAGTTCGGGTCGGCCAACAGATATTCCCAATGACCCGAATCATGAAGTGGGTTGTTGGTGGATTTTGTGTGGTGGTGGTTCAAATCTAATCCCCAGGTGGGGGCGAGCTCAAGAGGCGATGGGCATCCAATAAACCCCTCAATGGGGGTCCGATCGTGTGAGGCGGAAGCAGAGTAGAGACCGTAAGCATCCCAGTCACATTCCCGGCATAGGAGGAGATTGTCCGTGGAGCAGCGGACGGAGACAGGTGCGGATCGGCAGCCCTCGCAGATCTGTGAGCGGAGGTGTTTACCGGAGAGGGCATTGGCGGTGTGAACCTGGTGGTCGCAGAATAGGCAAAGTTTAGCGGAATCAGCGCGGCAGAAGAGAAGAGCAATCTGATTGTGGCAATAATCGCAAGGCAGAGTCTCCTGTTCTTCTCCTGGATTGTTGGGCGTTCCCATTCTTACGCAATTTGGAAAGTCAAGGAGCGAGGGTTTCCCCTTTGGGAAGGGTTTTGATTTTTAGTTATTGATGCATCTTTCATCTCATACACTTTATTGCCTAAATAATAATTCACTGCTATAAACGCAATATTCTATTTAACAACGGTTTACTTATTTAACGACTTAGAAAAGTAATCAAAATATTTTAGGTTTATTTTAAGGTTAAATACCAAAAAGTCACTAAGTTTTTACAAAAATTCGATTTTGATATTGTGTTATTTTTTGTTTCAAATTAAACATTGTGTTCCTAATTTGTTACAATTATGATAAATATTTGACCAATCAATCCAATTAACTGTTTAATTAGAATGATAAAGTGTCAGTTTTAATTACATGTCAAAATTGAAAAAAAATATATCACAAAAAACACTAAATTTTTTTTTTTTCAATTTTGAAACTAAGTTCTCATTTTTTTTTCAATATCGACATTCATTTTTTTTGTCTCCAATTGATCATCATTCTCTTTTAATTAAGATACATCACCTTTATAGATAACAAAATAAATATGTATTAATTATATTATAACTGTATTTGACATGTATTATTAGGATGTTATAATTTTTTTCAACAATCAATAATTGTATCTACCAGAACCAAAAATCATGAATATATAAAATGAATGGTCCATGGTAATTAAAGCGACATCAGACTCTAATGTTTTCGAGATCACATTAGCTTATATTACTGTGCATTCCACATCTCTAAACTCATTTTAAAGTTGTGCATTTACAAAAAAATTTGGTTATAATATAATTAATATATATTTATACATAACATTATGGTTTAAATGTAAAAACATTGTATTTAAACAAAAAAATGTGAATTTAAATGTAAAAAAATATTTATACAGTTTCAAATGTAAAAAAAATTATTTATATGGTTTCAAATGGAAATGGTCAACAGTGCACAAAATTAGTTAAAAAATGGTGTTCAATTTGGAATAAAAAATGGACTGTCAAAATTGAAAAAAAAAACGCAATGTCACAATAGAAAAAAATAAAACCTTAGTGTCTTTTGTGCATGTTTTTCAATTTTAAAACATCAGCATGTCACGTTATCAAAACTGAAACATCATCATGTCATGACAGCAGTCAACGGGTTCACCAGTCAAGTGGTTAGAATTGTAACAAATTGGAAACACAATGTCTAATTTGAGACAAAAAATAATGTAGTATCAAAATCAAATTTCTGTGTAAATTTAGTGACTTTTGTGGTATTTACCCTTTATTTTATGTTTACCTCATTGTTTAGTATATCCTTCTGTCTGAGTAGGCAAGTTGTGTGTATTTGACTTTCTATATGAATGAAAGGGTACAAATTATAACACCCACATTTTACCGCTCGTTAAGGTGAGTGTTATGGCCCCTCTGTTTATATTTTTACATGTTTTGGTGGAGAATACATGTGCAATATGATATAAATTTACACATAAAACACTATTAACTTATGCAAATACTATACTAGTTATGAAATTATCGCTTGATATTATACTAATTTCCAATATCAAGATAATCATATGGTATGTTGTTAGGCTATTACAACTATCTAAATAACTTATGCCTTGCTAATACATAGTTTATACAAGTAAACATACTTAAATGTATACCAATTATGCTTTTATAAACTCTATACAAATTCATTATGGCTAATAACTTATCCGCTTATAAGTTAGGGCTGAGCGCTTTTCAACTACCTTAGTTAAGGGCTTTTTAGTGAGACTATATTCATTAGCAAAGTCTAATCACTTAGTATACCCACACTACTATAATTGTTAATCTTCAGAGCGAGATACATACGTATAAATCTATATGGGGTTGACATCCCTACATGTGGTTGCTAGCTACTACCTCGACTGATCAATCGAAGCAGGTGATAAGTATCTACAATCGTTACTACGTCGTGTATGAAGCGACGTAGGGGGTACATACAGTCACATAGCTCGGTTATAGGATAAAAACATTAACTAAAATCTCTCTCTCTGTGACATCCACAAATTTCACGGCCAGAAAAGACCGATTTGTTTATGCTTTATTTGAAAATCAGAGTATATCTTTAAAGAAATATATTGCGTAATTTGTTCCCAAAAAAGATGATAAATATATTATCAAAGCATTTCCGAAGAAATGTATTTTGTTTATATTAAAACTTTGGGATGTCATCATCAATACAAAAACATAAGCATAAACAGACCTTATTTACACTAGTGATTTACATCTCCTTTAATCTCTCAGTGTAATATAGCTTCGTATCGATACCTGTGATACACATATATTGAGTGGGTCAGGTTTGGAAACCTGGTGAGCACATAGGGTTTTCAACCCACAATAATATAATTATTATGTTTAATCATCAAACAATCAACCCAATTACCCATATCCATTATCTTCTTTATTCTACCCTAAGAATTAGCTATTCCTCGTTCATTCATTCCTAAGGATCATCCTAAGGAATCGACACGAAATCCAACGTTGCTAGGGTTTACTCAACAGGAACTAAGTCGCATAGTTACCAGGGTTTAGGCACTAAGTCTCATAGTCGTCAGGGTTTATACAATAGGCACTAAGTTGCATAGTCGCCAGAGTTTAGGCACTAAGTCTCATAGTCGCCAGGGTTTATACAACAGGCACTAAGTCGCATAGTCGCCAGGGTTTAGAGTACACCGGGTGAACATATAGTTCACAACCCCTACAAGTTACGAGCCTGCTAGTGTTCCACTGGACTGTCTAGAATAGTCCGTGGTTGTCATCCATACTTTGCTAGATGACGGAGCTAACACTTGGGTAAAGGTTTCTCTCACTTCTCACCTCTCACCCTTATCTCATGATCTATATCGCCTTTCATCTCATCTTCCAACTCATTTTTCATCACACACCAACTATTTTATCTACCCATGTTGTAACATCCCAATTTTCAAGGCCAAAAATTTCATTTTTAATTAAGTAACTTGTAAAATAGTTTACCAAAAACGTTGCCAATGTCATATCAATTTATAAAAACCGTAACAACGTGTCTCAAAACCATATCATCAATAGTAATAAAAATCAGAGTACAATCCCAGAAAACTCAATGCAGAAATCATGTGTGTGTAATGCGCTGCTACACCCCCGGATCCTTCCCCTTAGATGAAGAGGTACGTGAAACCAAAACTAAAAACCGTAAGCACAAAGCTTAGTGAGTTCCCCCATCATACCCATACCAAATAATGCATAATCATCGGTATCTTTCAACCGGTAACTGTCAGGAATAACCGGGAGCTGGACTCCCCCTCGGTATCTTTCAACCGGTAACTGGGAACTAACCTCCCCTTCGGTATCTTTCAACCGGTAACCGGGGGACTATTTCACCCCTACTACTGCTAACACATATTAAGAATAATAATCATATCAAGCACAGTAAGCATATCACATGTCAATCCTAGATAATTATCATAAAGACAATCATCTATCCAACACTTTCACTTGTGGACCGGCATTGTGGCCGTAGACCCACCCCTACTAGAAGGAAACTCACCTCGAAGTAGTGTAGTGTCTACGCTGATCTCGGTGTGGAAATCGACTCTCCCCGACTCCTAAATCCCTACACGACAACTCTTCTAAGTTATCAACTAATACTCATAACCCTTACAAGGGTCACTCAATCCAGGTCAAAGTCAAAGTCAAATCCATGGTCAAAGTCAACTTCTGGTTGACTCGACTCGTCGAGTTGGCCCGTCAACTCGTCGAGTCCCCATATCCACAAAAGCCATAATCCCGTCCCTACTCGTCGAGTCTAGCAAGAGCTCGACGAGTTCGCCTTCAACAACACATCAGACAATCTTCAACCGACTCGTCGAGTTCGTCCTTGAACTCGCCGAGTTCATCTTCATCCAAAGAAGATGTTTAGTCTATGACTCGCCGAGTTCCCTTTGAACTCGCCGAGTCCGTCTTCATGTGGCTGGGACATTGCCTTGAACTCGCCGAGTCTGTTCATCCACTCGTCGAGTCCTATGATTCCTAGGTCCCTAGTGAACCTAAACAACTGGGGGAACCTTCGATCTTAACAACTGGTCCATAAACAGAAAGGATTTGGTGGAAAATACACCCCGACTCGCCGAGTCCCAAGAACGACTCGCCGAGTCCCTCTATGTCCAAAAATATACAGTCGATTATAATGGGTCTTAACGCGTCAAAACCATAGATCTGGCCTCCTAGGTCCATTTTATACGTAAAGTTTCAAACTTGATGTACATGCATGGGGCCTTTGGCTCAAAAATCCATAAAAGGAGGTCTACAAGATGCATGGGTCTCTCATGGCCATAAAGTTGGCACGTTTATGCCATGAGAACCCTCCAAAGTCCAAGATCTGAAGCCATATCACCACATTACACCCCACAACCCGAAAATGGTTTAGAAATGTCGTAAAGATACCAAAATCCAAGCCCTAAGTTGATTAAACACATGGAAAGTCAAGATTGAAGCTTTTTTACCTTAAATGAGTTGGAAATGGAACACAATCTTCGGATCTTCTAGCTTCAACTTGAACTCCTAAGCTCCTTCCTTCTTCTCAAGCTTCACAACCACCAAAAATGCACAAAAATGGCTTAAGAGCACTCAAACAAGGCTAGGGTTTCAGTTTAAGGTCTTCTGGAAGTGTGAGGGACGATGGAGGATGATATGGGAGGGGATAAGTTGTTTAAATAGGGTGCAAACCCTAAATATTAGGGTTTCGTCCAGACAGCTCCTACTCGTCGAGTCGGTCTTCCGACTCGTCGATTAGGTCACTTAAACCCCCGGTCAACAATCGAGTCTACTCGACGAGTTGGGCCTCCAACTCGCCGAGTCCCAGAGTAAATTTCAACATTTCTTGAATTTAAATACGTACCAAGAATCGGGTGTTACACATGTTTTACCCCAACATATTTGTAGATATAAAATACATATACAGTTTAAATCATTTAAAACGTATATAAAATAGATCAT